AGTCTAAGCTTCTAATTCGTCTGTTTAAAGTTCTAATTTTTTTCGGCTCTCCCAATTTCAACTACATTTTGCATTTTACTGTTTAGGACATTTACGCTCTTCAAAAGCTAAACCATTTTCAAGGGAAGATAATACTAGGTAAGTACAAGGGTTGTTAGAAAAGTTCGCGGACAAGTTCTATTGTGAGCGCGCTATTTTCATGAAATCAGTAAAACTCTGCAGGTAAAAACTATACGTCTTTTCCAATTAAGATGCAAAAAAATATACAGCGAACTTATTAAGCTAAAACATGCTTCATGGAGCATGTTACTTTTTCGCACTTTTACATTTCAGAGACATAGTTTTGAAATTAAAAATTGCACTGTTGTAGCGCATAAAAATTTATGATATTTCACCTCTCACTACGATATTCATGAAACGTCAGTTGGCGAAATTTTTAATTAAATTGGAGGAGTTATGACTGTTTTATCACTAATTATAGATTATCAGTGCGTAAAAACAAAGCCAAAAAATGGTAACGTCATTGAACGTCTTGGAGCGCCAGGTATTAAAAAATTGTATGTGCAGAGAGAAAAATGCCCGAAAAAGTCTTAAATGTTTTTTAGATGCTGCTCGGGATGGCTTACATGTATCTAGTACCAAAGTGTTCAAGTGGTAACAACTTTGTAAGAATGAAAGGATGGAAATTTTTGATTATCAACTGCTGCGATATCCCAATATCCTGCTTATCGCATTGACGTTGCGCCTATGGATTTTTCATTGTTTCTCATATCTGATCGCTGAACTGCGTAGACATTGTTTTAAAGATCTCACTAATATCCGATACACCACAAAAGACATTAAAAAATATAACATGACTTGATATACTTATTTATTTTTTAAGTCAGAAAAAGACATGAAAAGTCTATAAAAATGAAAGATATTTAGAACTGTGAAAAAGCTTCACAGGTCTGGAATCAGGTTGTCACGTCACCTAACGTCATAAAACGTCTCGTGATTGCTCCGTGAATCCTATGACCGCGCAGTAAAAATCAACGTATATTTTCAAAATTTTAGTAAATGGACCTGATCTTTTACATACTAATAAATAGAAGATATCAATTTAATTAGACATACGTCATTCTTCAAAGTTTACAATATATTTCCAGTAAATCAACGTGTCCGCGAACCTTTCTAACGACCCTCGTATAGAAAATGTAAAGCCATTACTTTTCTTCAAGAACCAATTTGCAGAAAAGCTCAAATAGACAGGAAATTTTCCCTATATAGTGTATATTCTAAAGTAATAAATTAAATCCAACCCCAACCCCCGAGGCCATAGCTTGGACAATATAAGTGATCGAAGTTTAATATGGAGGATCATAAGAATCACGCTTTTAAATTATCAAGAATAGCTGGGTAACATTTAGCCATATAAATAGCAATTCTCTGTAACCACTTAAACTTCTTTGCTACGCATGGTCACCGATATTGATGAAACTTTGCCCATTATTACAACTAGTTACCAGAAACATATATCAAATAAAATTTCGTTGCTATGTGTATTGGTTGCCATGGCAACAGCCAGAAAATTTGAAAAAATTGAGATTTTCAGCTACTTCAAATCTTTATTAAGCCTTTATAAAGACTAAGAAAAACAAACAAACCATTCTCCCAAAAACATGACATCTTGTTGTTACTTATGCTATAAAGAAACTATTTAAAATTTTTCTCTAAGTAAGTGGTAACCATGGGTACATTTGACATACATTTTAGATGCTGAAAAATGCTGAAAAACGCTCAATATTCACTAATGTTAGATGTTACATGATCAAACTCAATCAGTAATTGAAGAAAAACGATAAAAATATTTGACCTTAAGTAATTAGGTATTGGCAATATTATTCTAAAAATAACTTTCATGGTTGCCATGGTAACACAGTGTAACCATGCAAAATTCATTGCTAAGATTGGGTTAATGCTACTATCTTGAGGAAAAACAATAAAATTCATGACTGGCACATATAAATTCCTTAGGACCTTGCAACACCGACAACATAAGAAAAAATGGGATTAATTGTTACTTTGCAGTGTAACCATGGAAACACGTACCAGTTGTTTAAAGTGATATTTTTTTACTGCTTTAGGAATTTACTTACCTTTTAATCAAGGAACATATGATTTGACTCACCTTGAATAGTACTTATCTGGTAGAACTAAAGTTGAATATCATATATTGATAAAGTTTGTTGAAAAATACAACACTATAGCTATGGTTACCAAGAGGGGAAAATGTTCGATTTTGTTAATTTTATATCAATATTAAATCCTATGTGCCAGCTTTTTGCATCCAGTTAGAGATTGGGTGGTAGTCAAAATTGAAAGTCAGGTTAGTTGTTCACATATATCAATCATGAAAGTTTTCGGAATCTACATACAAGGGTACGTATCCAAGGAAACAGAATATTTTTCAGATTTTTATGCATATTTTTTCGGCTTATTTCCATAGCAACGCTCTATTTAAAAAATCGAATTTGAATTTTTTGAAATGTGAAAATTAGGGTCACACCAACGCCTTTAAAATTGATCATTAGTTATATAGAAATATGCTTTGTAAAAAGATAGGTTAAGATTAAAATACTAAAAGAGTAAATTTAAAATCCCTTTGTGGTATTAAAACCATGGCAACCATTGCCAACCTATACGAAATATCATATTTCGTTCTTGGTATATGTTACAAGGATCTCTTATCTATTATTTGCTTGCATTTCAACCTATTATTGTTTTTATTCTTAAGTGTATGACTTTATAAAATTAAATGAACAAAATTATTACTTTTGAATACTTTGTTTCCATAGTAACGTATGTAATAGTTGATTTACCTAACATGTTAACATGCATTTAAGACATCAGGCCTTCAACTTTCAGAAACAGTCATTGTCACTTGTTTGCTTTGCTGCAAACGTTAACTGTGGGACTCTGAACATGTTGAAAAATGCCATTTTTCAAAATTTAGGACATGTTGCTATGGTAACCATGACACGTAGCAACCAATTTTTGCCTGATTTGAGTTTACGGTATCAAAGACTTTTATCATAGAGAGTTTGGAGATATTCTGAGACTATGCGTGCCACAGCTCCTATATAAAAGTTAAAGTCATTACAGAGAATGGCTCTTAAATGCAAGGGTGTTCAGGTATGGTAATTCAAAATGGCTTAGATTATCTTGAGGCCACTTTACGTTTTTAAAGTTAACATGCATGAAAGAATATTCCAGGGAAACTTCACAATGGAAAGTCGCCCGCATGGCGCAGTAGTTAGAGCGATTGCTCTAAGAGTCGCGGTGGAAGGAGTTGATCCTGTAAATATTTGAAATTATAAAATTATGTGAATATACAAGGAATATTTCCTTTCTACATAGGATAATTGCTTGGTATCTAAAAAATAAAATATTACGATCTTTAAAATTACTTGCATAAAAGTACGTAAAAACTTTCAATTGATTTACTATAGTGAAGACTTTGATAATATAGTATACTATAGTACTTTTTTGTTAGGGATACATAAAAAGTTTATGGGTTTCGTAACAGTTTATCGCTTAAAGCTAATGTCATAATATGGTCAAAGCAAAATATCCCATGTTCTTCTTTTCAGATTTCGGTAATGTCATAGACAGCAAGTTTTAATGAGATGTAAAAATACATGTAATTTTCCATTTTTTCAGATTCAAGAGAGTTTTGCCGGGAGTATTAAAGTGTGTCGTAGCTTAATTCAATATTGTGTGATTTGGCCGTTCAATTGAATTTTAATGCAATTGTTCGACTTTGCCACAAATAAACTTGTATATATTTTGCTGGATACCCATGTATTTGATGAAATGTGAAGATAACGAACAGTATTCAATCTCGAAAGTTCAATGAAACGATACAAATTTGGAGCAGAGCAAACACGGACTTCAAATTGTACAGGTGGGATCAGAAGCCATGGAGGAGTGAGCATCCCCTGCCGACCGGTCACACAAAAAATGAATATTCTATTAGTTAGTATTGAATTAATTTAGTTGAACTATCTTTTAGGGATATACAGCATATACATGTAACTACTCTAGTGCAGCTTACAATGAGGGAAATAAATGTGTAAATATCTTTATGTAGCATAGGCTAGATTCACATTTGTTCACAAGTCTTTTGGACTAGGGCAAGGTAAAACATGGGGGACAAACAAAAAGAACCCGGCTTGCAGGTTTTAATATCAAAATTTATGGGAATGGAATATCGATTATTATGCAGATATTATGAATATTAATGAGAAATAAATCACATGGAAGCTACCTCGTGAATAAACTAGATAAGTGTCAACATTCAACATAACGACGGATTGTATTTGCAAACAAGGCAATTGTATGGACCATAGAATTTGCAAAATGATGACTTTAAACAAAATTCTTGGTATTAGTGTATCATCACCTTATTTGTCAAAAGCTTGTCTCGTTTTAGAAAATGTTCGTTTGTAGAATATGTAGCTGTGTATCGATTCAATTAGGAGATTAAAACTCCCTGTGCATGTTATAGTGGTATACTTTTACGTAGATAAGGGCACTTGACGATAACGATTAGTTTTAGTTTGCCATCAATGTCTTTCTCTAGTAAAACATACAAAAGGGAATCATCGACATACTGTTATCTTGTAAAACAAGAGTATAGTCCTGTCCAGAGCACAGTAAAAGATAAGAACAAAATTGAGAAATCATTCCGAATTGATGGCATTTTCTTTCTCTGTTTCCTTTGTTTTTCTTTACATTATACTTTTAACAGGTATTCGCCATATTGAAGGAAACATTGCCACTTTGCAAATTCTCGAAATGTACAATATTTCTCATATCCAATTAATACGTCTTTGAACGACCAAAAGTGTTGGCAAAAAACCTCGATTTTTTTTAAGTGACCATGAATATTTTCTAAACACACTTTTGTTCCTTCCTTCATGTTAATATTTTATTTGCTCAAACGTATTATTACGTACTTGCAAAATTATCAGTCCTATAGTAGATATGAATGTGACTGATGCTGACGACTTTCTGTAGATCTACTCCCCACTCTGCTGTTCGCTGACCTGGGCCTGATATTGTACACTGCCCTCCAGTGGCTCCACGTTCGGAATATTTCCCATCGACCGCCTTCGCTGCTCCCCAGGCTATTGGTTTATCTGTCCAATCGTGAAGCTGCCAGGCAGGTTTTCTTAAAGCTAAGTTCACTTGTAAATATAACGTAAAAAAGTATATTACAAATAAATGCTAAAAAACACTTAACACTTAATTTTACAGTATGTTTTCTAGATCTAAGGTCCGTTCTTAAACTGATTTTCTAAGACTTACTAACGAAAGTATCTATTTTTGATATCTTGTTTTACAAGATGACAATACAATGATTTTCTGAAAAACAGGATTTACAAAAAGAAAGAAAGAAACAAAAAAATAAGTAACTTACAATAACTGCAGTGCAGACCTTGATATCCTGATAAGCAACCTTTCAAACAGTTACCAGTGACGGCGTCACACTGCCGCCCCTGACATGTTACTGGACAAGATTGGTTACAATATTCCCCATAATATCCAATGACAGGACAACCTATGTAACAATTGATTATGATTATGTGTTTAATCTACGAAAATTAATTGCTTTATCTTTCCTCATTTTTTTTTTTACCAATATAGGAAGAGCAGCAGCATTGTGAAGGAAGAAATCCACACATATCATATAGAATGTAAATGGCAATTAGTTTCTCAGAATGAAATTATCTGTTGGAGCTCACCATAAACTTCCACTTCACATAGTTCATTGAATGCATTCTCAGAGTAGTAACTAGGATACGTAACACCTGGTCTCCTCTCGTTGTAGTATATAACGTATCTGCCGTACACTGAGCAGTTGATCCTCTGGTCTTCTGTAGGTGTACCACTCACATTCTGTATTTCATGGAAACAGAGTATTCCGTTTTCTTTTGACGTAGTGTTGGAGACATAGAGGTAAAACCCAGCGAATCGATTGGAGTACGAACCTGTATGCAAGAGTTCAAATTCAAAGCCATATACTCCCGATCAATGACATTTCATTTGAGCTTTTTATATTTTACTTCTACAGTTATGGAAAATATTGTCGATATTCGCATTAATCTTAAAGAAATATTTCAGAATTATTTTATACAATAGCATACCAGGATTATTATCTGTCCTGTAGTAGATGTTGATGTAACTGATGCTGACTACTCTCTCTAGATCTACTCTCCATTCTGCTGTCTTTTGGAAGTCCCCTGATATTGTACACTGGTTGCCTAGTGCTCCGCGGTCTGAGTAATTTCCATCCACCGCCTTGTCTGCCCCCCAAGTTGTTGAATAGTCATTAGCCTGCCAAGTGGGTTTCCGTAATGCTAAATTGTCTATATAATGAGGATATACCAATTCAGTCTTTTAAACTTTATAGAATTAGCAGCATCGAATATTTATCTAAGAAAAGTTATAAATTTCCTCTGCAAATCGGCAAAATCAACTGATACAACTAGATTCTGCTGTGGTTGTGTACTTTAACAATACTGAAGATTTTTATTGTTGGTTTTTAAGTAGAGCTTAAAACGTGATTTTTCCATTGTTTCGTGTTTTCTTTAATATATAACTTCAAACTCCGTCTTTTTGACCTCACGAGTTTCACAAATTATTTCACAATTATTATGTCACACAAATGGAATTTTTTTCAGTTGTTTGGAAAACGAAATAACTTCAAAATTTTATAATCTTACTATATGCACAAGTACAAGTCGCATACAAAATAAGCTGGAGGACCCTGAGAATCATTGTCTTCATTCTGAAAAGTTATTACAAAAGCATGAAATACAACTTACATAAATTTATTGCAGATAAACAAGACATTAAAATAATCAAAATAATCGGATGTATGCAGAGAATAAGTTTACCAGTAAATCTATTTATCACAGCGCACCACGTGGAATTTTGGATGCGCAATATATGCACAAAGCATTGGAACATTCAATTCTAAACTATTCGCCAAATTACGTTTTGGATGTGCTCTGAATTTGTTACGAATTTCTCAAATAACTGTGCAAAGTCATAGTTAAAAGATTGTTGAGGACACAGTTTGTGTGGGACGGATTCCTTGCACTATATGTACTGACTCTGTAAATACCCGGAGAGATGCCAAAACGCAAGTCTAATACGCCTATAGCCGCCAAAAAATGCGGAAGAAGGAAGAAAAGGAGGACAGCATTAGCAATGAGGAGGACATCGCTGCCTCATATAGTTCAGTAAGTACGTCATTTTGCATACTTACACCGATTATAATGATTACAGATTCTTTGGGGTAGCTTTCTTCTAAAACACGTAAAAAATACAAAACAAGAGTTTTTAGTTAGAATCGGCAGTGGAAAAAATAAGCTCAACTTGGTAGACGGGGAACTTGTCCTAAGAAAGTGGGAAAGCGGGAAAATTATTGACATCGGGAAATAGACTGACGCGTTTATTGTGTTTTTTGGTGTTTACGTTGAACACACTCGTTCAATCACAGGGTTTACTGAAATATGTATACACATGGTTAGATTGGATTTTATAGATCTACCAACAGCTGGAAATAGAATAAGGACCAATTTTGCCTCAAAAAAGCAAAAAATAGCTATCCGGCATGGAGGACGAATGAGTGTGGATGTTATATCGTATGAGTAGAATTTTTAGCGAGGATTTAATTTTGGCATTATAAGCGAGCGAATATCACTAACAATAAATTGCGTTTTGTTTGTAATAACTTATTTAGTGAGCATTTTAAAAACGCGCAAAAGCATGTATTTTTTAAAAATCAAAATATACAATGATTTTTACTTTGTGGGAAACAGATCATAAGCACCATCTGATATTTCCAAGAAGAAGTCAGTTGACGTCAAACAACTTGACTGCAGACCTGTTTCCCCTTTTCAAACACCTTTCACTTTTCATTATCTTCATCTTTGTAGTTTGTAATTATCTGATGTATAATTTTATCACTGACGTCAAATTTCTCTGCAATATCATGCACAGTGACTCCCCTGTCATTTCATTATTCCCTAAGTACCGATTCAGTGATACAATCATCCACTTTCAGTAGTCTTCCTGTTCGTTTATTTTCATAAACATCATTCCTTCCACCTTTAAACCTCTGGTGATATTTTTGTACTATATTCTCTGAAAACATATTGTTCATCTCTAGCGGCATGCAGGTACATTTTAACACCCCTCCCCGGCACACAGTTTTTTTTTTACGCCACAGTACTCCAGGGCGTCCAATGATGTTAATGATTCTTGATTTAAATTATTTATTGTGAGGTCTTATGAATTATTGTGATTTTTTTTTGAAAATTTTTCAATTACTCAAAAAAAATGGGTACAGAATAAAAATTACATACTCTTTAAAGCACATTTTATCGATATAATTAAGCTGTATATTTTAATTTAAACATTTTTAAAATCATATCTTTGCATTTTTGTTTGAAAATACGTCAAGGTTTTACCTGCAAGAAATCGCCGGTTCCTTGAAAATAGTCCACGAACTTTTCTTACAACCTTCCTACTTGCTTTAAGAAAAAAAAAATCGATTTTTCACTTATGCAAATCCGGAAGAGTTTCAATGACAAATATTTCACAGGTTACAGGGAAAATCTGTATTTTGTTAACGAAACGTTATCAGGATTACATAAAAAAAAATATCTCAGTTCTCAATCGTGTGGGTTACTTGTATTATGTAATAGCCATTGAAAGTGAAGTACTGTTAATATTTCAAACGTGGATTATAAAGTATGGATTACTGCTTGAAAAAACACCTTTACAAAACTTTACTTGCAAAGTAAATCTCATTAAAGGTGCTCCAAAAAGCAAGGTCATCTTTGTATTAACTTTACAAAAAGTAAAGGTGAAAAGGTAACCTTTACTTACACGAAAAGGTAATTAAATCTAACCTTTCACCTTTAATGCTGCATTAAAGTTATATATATATATATATATATATATATATATATATATATATATATATATATATATATATATAATGAAACTTTTTAAAATCCTTACTTGAATACTGGCTTTTGTTTAATACACTCGTACTTAAGATTTCAACAAATGGTTTTTGACTTTCAATAAATAGGTATCTGATGTGTCTATTGTGTTACCCCAACCCCATTTTGTTAAACTCGATCTTACTAAAAATACACAAATTTTCACGCGTTATATCAATTTCCAGTTGTATTTAGTATTAGAGATTGTCATCTACAAAATATAAAAATTTATACTATTTTGTATACTGTAGACAGAAAATCACAAATGTAAAAATGGTACCAGATATCAGAATATAGATATAATAAACTTTAAAATTCCCTATGACTTAACCTCTAAGTTATCTGATTTGCTGATATCTGATAGATGGAGAGCTCTTTTTTATTTGCTTTTAGTTTAGATATATTGAAACCTTTTCTGTTATAATTTCTGCTTTATAAATATCTACCAAAAACAGTTACAAACATTACAAGATTACATCTTTTACTAGAACAGGCAATAAAATGACAAAGAATGAAATAAAAAAGGTTAAAATACAATACAATATTATTCATCCTTTATGGTGCATGTACATGTGTCAAAACTTCACAGTTTAAATGGAACTAAAAATGCCTTACTCAGTTATTACTCAAGATCACTGATGAGAAACTACACAACATAAATCAGGCAAAGTACTAGTATTTCCAATTTAAACTAATAAAGGCTATCTAATGAGTATTTATGTACAGGTTAATAATGTTGACATCTTGTAAGCATAATCGTGTAATTTACATATTCACAAAATAAAGAAACAAAATTGCTTAAACATCTATTAGAATATAGGTTCAGAGGTAGTTTTGCAAGATGCATAAGTAAATGCATGTGTCCAGCTTCATGCAGTGAGCCTGTTTGAGCTTGACTTTATACTTTGGATTAAATGTTATATGTGCATTGTGTCTGTGGTAGATTATGTTTGCATTGTGTCCATCTTCACACGCCTTGGAAAATATGTAACTGGTTGTGGTAGATGCTTGAGTGCTTGCGTATGTGTCCAGCTTCACACATTTTCATGTATGTGCTCGACTTCACATGCCTTGGAAAATATGTAACTGGTGTTGTGGTACATGTTGTTATGTTTGCATATGTGTCCAGCTTCACACATTTTCATGCATGTGCTCGACTTCACACGCCTTGGAAAATATGTAATTGGTTGTGGTAGATGCTTGTGTCCAGCTTCACATATTTTCATGTACATGTATGTGCTCGACTTCACACGCCTTGGAAAATATGTAATTGGTTGTGGTAGATGCTTGTGTGTTGGCATATGTGTCCAGCTTCACACATTTTCATGTATGTGCTCGACTTCACACGCCTTGGAAGATATGTAACTGGTGTTGTGGTAGATGTTGTATGTTTGCATATGTGTCCAGCTTAACACATTTTCATGTATGTGCTCAACTTCACACGCCTTGGAAAATATGTAATTGGTTGTGGTAGATGCTTGTATGTTTGCATATGTGTCCAGCTTAACACATTTTCATGTATGTGCTCGACTTCACACGCCTTGGAAAATATGTAATTGGTTGTGGTAGATGCTTGTGTTTTTGCATATGTGTCCAGCTTCACACATTTTCATGTATGTGCTCGACTTCACACGCCTTGGAAAATATGTTATTGGTTGTGGTAGATGTTTGTGTGTTTGCATATGTGTCCAGCTTCACACATTTTCATGTATGTGCTCGACTTCACACGCCTTGAAAAATATGTAACTGGTGTTGTGGTAGATGTTGTGTGTGCTCAACTTCACATGCCCTGGAAAATATGTAATTGGTTGTGGTAGATGCTTGTGTGTTTGCATATGTGTCCAGCTTCACACATTTTCATGTATGTGCTCGACTTCACACGCCTTGGAAAATATGTAACTGGTGTTGTGGTAGATGTTGTGTGTGCTCGACTTCACATACCCTGGAAAATATGTAACAGTGGTTGTGGTTAATGCTTGAGTGTATGCATTTGTGTCTTGCTTCACACAGAGAGAAAATTTTTGTGTGCTCTTTTCTACAAGATAATGATTATTTAAATATACTCCGAATACATCCTCTATAGAAATGGATAATCATAATGAGTTACATACTAAGTTCCTCTGTGCACAATATACACAATTTTACTGAAATTAAACTTGTGCAAAAACTCTCTTGCTGAATAACTTTCATTATTATAAATGCTTGAATGTTCATCTATAAATTTTCAGATATTTTCTAGTCTGTGTGTATATGTTTGATCACAATGGCATCCATATTTGATTCCCCTCTCTGTCATCTTTTCTTGGTCACCAGTTAATTCAACAGTAGGATGGATACTCAGATTTCTCGGGTGTTGGACAAAAGGAGTGCTAATAATAAACATAATCTTCGAAATTATAGATAATAACATCCATTTCTTTTCCAGGTTTGCATAAATTAGTTATCTTTTGAAATTAAAGCACATCTGCAATATCCCTGAAAACTTGCCAAGATACTTAAAATGTTTGTAGCATGCTTTAACTACTTTAATTTTATATTTGGAAGTTTAGAATAATAGAAAAGCAAGTTCATATATAAAAATGAAATGTAAAAGATCTTAATAATGAAGATTCATTTACACAATGTGATAACACATTGAAGTCAATTCCTCACCTGCCTTTCTCGTAATTTATCTTCATAATAGAGTTGATTCTATGATGATCACAATCAATTATTTAAAAAAACTTCTTCATCTCAAACTATCTGAAGGTCTTCCATCTTCCCAACTGCCACTCACCCAAAGTGTACCGAGACTTCTGACCTGTATAATATCCAAATTCAAGATTAAAATAAAAAAAATCTCTTCACAATATTGGTCTCTTTAAAAAATGTGAGAAAATAATTTTAAATACTTTTCTAAAGATGGAATAATGTAGTGAGTACCTAACAATGTTTAAAAATATTTTGATCTCTGTACAGTGATAACATATGAAAAAGTCTTATCCCTTGTAATTGAAAAAAACTTCCACTCTTAAGGACATTACCCAACATAGAAATAATGTACATTTGTCTCTGGCACAACCAATCCACAAGAGACATTTCCATACTTAGCACCATGCATTAGCTCTCCACTCTTTGTTTCTACAAAAGATAAATTATGAAAAGGTAATTTTTTGACTGTTAAGTCTGATTAATTATTTTCCAGCCAGTGATGAATAGAATATATGATTTCCTTAATAATCAGGGAAATATTATTCATGTTTATCTCAAATGAACAAAGTTTGATCCCCCCCCCCCTCCATTGCCACTACAAAAGGAAATAAACTGACTCAGAAACTCTTAATTCACTGAGGTAAAGGAATTAATGGCATCAGACAAGGAAAGATTATTAATCATTTTTTCAGTTGAGATGAGATTATATCTTTTAAACATTTTTGAGGTTAATATATTTTTACCTCCCCCCCCCCTCCCCCGCATCAAACAAAAAATAGTCGCCCCTTTATTTAGCTGTCCTAAATCTATAAAAAAAAATTTAATGATTTTTTTCATTTTAATTTATTATATCTTGACACTATACACAGTGGTAGTAGATGCAGTAAATTATTAAGAGGTGACCCCTCCCCCCCCCCCCCCCCAGATGTTACGTCTGAAATGTTAAACGACTGTTTCAATATCTTGAAAGACAGAAAACAGTTATACACAACAATTAAGCACATTTTCATTACCTTGCAGTCAGTGTCGAGTGACACACGTAAACAACATCCCGCAATTTCTTTGTTTATTCTTGGCGGAATTTTGTGGCCTTGTAGACTGGTTCCCATACATTGCAAGTGCCCTGAATAAGTCATACGCTTATTGGTTTTGTTTATTAGAGGTAATATCAGTAATATGCCCCGTTCATTTGACAGCCTTTACTTTAAAATTCTGAAATATATATTATCATATTATACCGATGTTTTCTACCTCAGTATTATGTAATCCTCTTCATTCAAGTCTTCTCGAATACAAAACGAACGATTTACTTTTAACAGTAACCCAAATATGGCACTGTGTATTCGGTTGAATAGCCAATCATTTCAAATCAAGTTGAGCGGGTCTCATCGAATTTTCTGGTATTTTTGTCGAAAATATGCAACCAGGGATCAGTTGATTTAATACCTTTTCATCGACCGGTAGATTTAAGGAG